CAGGAGGGCTAATTTTCATATATGTATATATGATGAGAGAGAGAGAGATAACTATTATTGAGTCGACGAGTATCTCCTCATGATCTAATTCCCTCCATACAGTTTGCACAAGTCTCTCTCTTTAACTTTAATCAAAGTTCAAGATAAATCTAAACCACTACTTTTTTAAAGATTTTTTAGAATCAATTTTGTGAAAAAAATGATTATTTAAAGAACGTATAGTTAAAAAAGTTCCAAAAATATTTTATTAAGAGAACGTGTAATTTTAGAGTAAGTCTGAAAAAAATAAATTTTAGAAAATGGAGACTAAACATGGCTAAACAAAAAAAGAACTTCCAGCGTGCAGGAAAGTGACAACCACATTTACTAATGTTCTCATAAACAGCCGTGTATTAAATGGAGAATTTGTTCGTTCTACGCAAACAACTGCCATTGACATTAGTTATCTTGATCATCTTAGTTGAGACACCTCTCCCATGTTAATTGAAAACTACACTGAAAGCAAATTATAGCAGAATGGAATTTACATTATGTCTGTCTGTTGAATCATATAATCCTTTTATTTTTGTTTTAAATATCAAACTAGTGCAAAGAATGATTAGACTACAACTGATTCTTAAATTTTACACGTCAATTGACGAAATGGAATTTTAATATGGATTGGAAACACAATGTTAAATAAGCACATTTCAATTGTTTTCTGAAACAATGGATGTAGAATAGTAACAATCTGCAGGCTGGGGGTACAAGTTTGTCCAAACAATAATCTTGTAATCTTATAATCTTCAATGCAATCATATCTTGCCAACTGATGCAAGGTATGGAGGGGATGGAGAGGATTCTTCCTTGGGAAGACCAAAACCAAACCAAAGGCAACTGGTAATGCTGTCCCGAAATGATGGGTTTCTTGCCCGAGCTTTGTAGTAGATTTTTTGCAGAATGGTGCTGATGACAGTCTCTACAAGAAGTAAGACAACTGCTGTTTCTTTCTTGAACCTCCTTCTCCATATATATTATTCCATTGCTCTAATTCGCTCATCACGGACCCCTCAGAAGCGAAACTGGCAGAAACCTGCAGAACCAAGACATATTCTTAAGAATTTTGGGAAGTAAATTTCTGATGTCTGTTTTAATAGAGACACTGTTCTCTCTGGATCTCGAATTTCAAAATTATTAATCTAGTCTCAGGTTAGGTAATTAGCCATTGTATGCTTTAAACCTTCACTGTTTGCAGACCTTTCCCAAGTAAATGTATTGTAAGCATGAAGTCCTCCACATCATTGTATGATTCAATTAGTCATGGCATGTTTGGTAAGGTGAACTCAACAGCATTATAGAAGAAAGAAAAGCTAAAATGACGTCCAGCACTTTTACAAAACAAGCTCTTAACAACAAATAAGAATTCCAAGAGACCTAAAAGTCAAAGGTGATGCTTTGGAAGAGAAATTGTTCACAGGAAGATGGTAAACCAGCAACGGTGAATATAACGGGGCCCAGGGCAGAGAGTAAACAGAATCACATTACCTGGTTCTTTGCCTGCCTCATGTCCTCCATGTTTAAGGGCCTAAGAGTAATTACCCTTTCCTCTTTAGTTTCTTCTTTTGGGGCAGAATCATCTCGGGAGCTCTGCCCTTCCTCATCTTTTTGCTTCTTTTCCTATAAAGACAATAGTTAGAAAACAGATATCCAGACATCTCACAACAAATAAATTTCTCTCTGGTTGACTGCAAGAATTTACCATATCCTTCTGTCTTTCTTGTTGTATCAGCTCTCTAACTGGTCGATAAGCCGCTGTTACACACAAATTCTGCCATCCAATATTTTGTGCCAAAAGTCAATGCCAGATTAAAAATTTAAGAATCTCATGTGTAAAAACACAAACCTTGAGATCGCTTCCGCTATATCCTTCAGTCATGGTTGCAAGCTCCTTGAAATCTAGGCCTTCGACTTTTTCTTTACACAGAAGGGTTCTCAAGATCATTTCTCTGCTCTCTGCAGTAGGTAGACCAACCATGACTCTGTTTGCCAGTAAAAACAACTCAGTAAGATAAGCATAATGCATGAGCATGAAACAGTTTTGCTCAGTTCCTTCAGATGTTTGCTTTGAAAATTTCTAGTCAAATTCCACAGTGACGTACAATCTGAAGACATTGATGGTGAAACTCAAGGAAATTC